ATATATAGTATATATAGTATATAGTATATATAAGTATATACTATATACTAATAGTATACTATAGTATAGTATATAGTATATATATAGTATATACTATTAGTATAGTAATATTATTATTATTATACTATTATAATATTATACTATTATACTATTATTATACTACTAATACTACTATTATACTACTATATTAATATAGTAATACTACTTAGTATAGTAATACTAAGAATACTTAGTATATAGCTAGCATCAGGGCCTCTTCTAATTAATTATAGTAACTGTTGTCTACACATACACAAAGAGTAGACATACAGAGTCAGGCTGTCTTGGTTCATATCCTAATGCCACTTACTAGCTGGTGCAACTTCAGCCAAGTAACTTTGCGTCTCATTTTTTTCCCCTGTAAAATGAAGACAATACCTGGCCTACCTCATAAGGTTGTTATGAAGACTAAATATGCAATTACCTGAACAGCACTTAGAACAATACCCAGAAAGCAGTTAGTAGAGGTGAGCTACAATCATTATTGTTATCATGCAGTTACTCACATATGTCAGGTGGGAATGATTAACTTTCATTCTCAAACATAACTCTGAATTTCATACCTCCTTAATCATTCTGAGGCACAGCAGAGATTCTACTTTATTCCTACCCTCTCCCCCGACAATGACAACTATAACACAGTCTTTAAAAATATAATAGAAACTATCAAGGAATTTATACAGCAGCTCCTCTACAAACTTTTATCCAGATTGACAAATGTATTTGCCGAGTTGATGAATTTTTTAATTCTCTGTTGTTTCCCTTTCCACTTTCTAATTTTGTATATTTGTGCTTCCTCCATTTTTCTTGATTTGGCTAGCAGCTGACATATATTTTACCAATTTATTCAAAGATCAGCTCTCAGATTCATATACTCCCCCCTTCCTATTTTTAAATTGTTATAAATTTTCAATTTAAAAACATTTCTAGAACAAAGCCACACTCCACAGAAAGAGCAAATCAGCTCAGCCCTACTCATTACCAACGGATGGCATTACTGTTATACTTGGTGATTTTAGGTCTACTACATTGTTCATCAATCTATAGCTTGAGTAGTATGTTTGAAACAATGTCATATTTGAAATTTATTTATAAAAGGCAAAAACCAAAATATAATATATCTTTGTTAAAATGTTTAAGAGAACTAAAAAGAAGCAAACTCAGAACCAATGCCATTACCATTTACGAGTTCTACCTTGAAACTTAATTTACATGACTGTGACCAATCAGGACACTGTATAGTATTACTTCAGACTTAATTTTTTTTTTTAATAAAAACCAGACTTTTGGAACCTAACATTTTGCAAGGAAATGAGCTTCTGTAATCTAACCATAAGCTCTACATAGAGCTTATGAAACAATAAATATTGCTAAAAGAAAACAAATCATTGAAGTTTCTCTCCTAAGGAGATTTCAATAAAAAATTCCAGTTATTAAATAACAGCCACACAATTTTTCAACCATACTGTTAACCATCTAGTCCTCACAAAATATAATAAAATGTAAATTTTCCTTGAAGATATAAGATATAATGGTAGTTCATACCATTACTACCCACGATCATTATTATGAAAAATAAAATTGATAATTTCCGGTAAACTGATTATTAATCATTTTCAGATAAGAAACATAGATAGACTACTTTTTACTATACCTTGATCAATTCCGCTTAGCTGATGGTTCAAAAGAGAATTGGAGGACTCTTTCAAATCTTCATAATCATATTCTTCTACAGGTTCAACAACTGAAGGTCTGTCACGTCGTGAGTAAATAAACTGAGCAGCTAGAATATACAATGATTAAAGAATGTTGTACTATAGCCATTTCCCATTAACTTTTTTCTTTAACAACAGTTAAAATAAAAATCAAAGATTCTGACCTACCACCTACAGCCATTTGCCCACATTTATAATAATGGATGAAAACAAAGACAAAACATATCACACCCAAATTCTGCTCAAATGTCCTTACTAACCTAACCATTCACTAGCCTCTTATAATTGTCTCCCTTCTTTCCTTCTATCTCATAAACACTGAGCTTACTTTCTCCACAGTTTTCAAAAATTATCTTTCCTAATCCTTGCCTGCTATTCCATCTTCTCTGAAATTGTTTCTTTGATACAAATACTTTAAACCTCATATCAAATTTGTTCATTTGCATAATTAAAAAATACCAAAAACAGACTAGATTTTCACTTTCCAAGAACTACTAATTTTGCCTGAACCCAAGAGTTGACCAAAATCATAGGCCTTAACTATTTTTTTTTTAAGATTTTTTTTTGATGTGGACCATTTTTAAAGCCTTTAGTGAATCTGTTACAACATTGCTTCTGTTTTATGTTTTGGTTTTTTGGCCACAGGGCATGTGGGATCTTAGCTCCCCAACCAGGAATCGAACCCACTGCATTGGAAGGCGAAGTCTTAACCACTGGACCGCCCAGGAAGTCCCCATAGGCCTTAACTTTTAAACAGTTTATACTTCAATCATACACTGAGACTGTATATTAATGTCATATACCTAACTTTGACTTTCAGACAGAAGTCTGTGCTACTCTGCAGTATTGGCAGTGTCATTACTCAATATATAACTGGGCATTATATTTTTCATTAATAGGTAGAAAGACAAAATATCAAAGTGCCAACATATGCTTGAGTATCATACACGAAATACGTGTGAGCAAAGGAGAGAATCATCATGAATGCCCAAAGTGTTCACTCTTCCACGTCAACTGGATGCCCACTGAACTCAAGTCCTGGAGAATGTGTTCAATTGCCAAGGAATAAAATTAAAGAATAAGTTTAAGAAGGATAAAAACATCAATACAGTATTCTAAAGGCAAGGTGTTATCAAGGATTTTATATTATTTAGCTTTCTGGAAGAGCACATAACATGTATGTCTATTGCTCAGAGTTCCCACATTTGACTTTTGTGCATGTTTTCAGGAAGGCACTATTCATGAAAGGGAATCTCTAACTGCATTCAAAATGTAAAGATAACACATATATAGACAATAGAAAATACTATGACTTAAGGGTAACACCTATACTCAGACGGTCATGGCGTAAGTGCTACTTATTTATAGTATAAATCAATGATGGCCTTACAGATTAGCAGGAAAGGCAAAAAAAGAAAAGGTAATGACATATTTTATAAAGCCAAATGAGTAGTACAGATGACAAGTGCTACAGAAGCATAGAAGATTAAGTAATCACTGAAGACTAGAGCAGTTATAATAAAGAAGGCAAGAACATCAGAAAAACTGAAGAAGAGGTGGAAGACATCCTGAACAAGGAGAACAGAATAAGACATATAAAGAGCAGTTGAGAGAATTTAATCTATTCTGCTATAATGCATGTTTCCTTAACATAAACTAGTTTATATCAAATGGTCAACAGGGGAATGATGACAGTAACATTCAAGTTGCTTTGGTTTATGAGATTTCCCCCCCAACACTTTGTAATGCAAATACAAAGTTCAGTAACACCAACCATAGAACATTATACTGTAATTGGAATTGTACTTTAATGCCAGATAGCCCCACATTCTTCCTCTTGGCTCCATCTGGCCATGTGTCCTGTTTTGTGCATGCTTACCGCTTGGCTCTCTAGGACCTGTGAGTATTTTGCCTTTGCAACATTACTCATTAGTTTCAACTCTTCCTTACACCTCTATCAAGCTTCTACCTTTTTGTTAAATGTAAAGTCCCATATATATTGGAATATATCTTTATTAGGAAGTTAATGTAACTTTCCAAATGTGCAAGCATTTTTATTAGATGATTACTGGTTTATTAGTATTGATACTTTACGGGCTGAGTGGTCTGTTATGATCCTATTTTTTCCCAGAGGTTTTGCTATTTTTTAGTATACAATTTTAAAGACCACAAGGTTTTTCAAAAATGTACATATTATGCTATATACATATCACTATTTTCCCTCCCTCTTGTGCAAGTAAAATACAATACTGCCATTATAAAGTCAACATGGTTAAACAGCAGGAAAAATATCCTGTTTCACAGATTTTCTAAGATGACCACTTTTTTCATATGTTAAAAATCTCAGAATGAGGGATGTCTTACAATCAAATGGCATCTTAGTATTATATAATACTTAGACTGACAGCTGATTATTTTTTAAGTGGTACGTAAAATAACAATATGTCTTACAATCCATGGTATTTTAGATACAATAAAATGTGGTAGCATTAAAAAATGTAAACCAGGCCATTTTGTGCCTGATGATTTTCAAACTACTTTCCTGGCTGTAATTAACTATTCAGTTTAGCCTAAAAGTAACAAATATACTTTCCCCAACTTTCTCTCATAGCTCTGAACTGTGAGGAAAAACCTAAGACAAATCAAAAATTAAGTGAGTGGGCTTCCCTGGTGGCGCAGTGGTTGAGAGTCCACCTGCCGATGCAGGGGACACGGGTTCGTGCCCCGGTCTGGGAAGATCCGACATGCCGCGGAGTGGCTGGGCTCGTGAGCCATGGCCACTGAGCCTGCACGTCCGGAGCCTGTGCTCTGCAACGGGAGAGGCCACAACAGTGAGAGGCCCGCGTACCGCAAAAAAAAAAAAAAAAAAATTAAGTGAGAGAAGAAATCAGATACGTCCGTGAACAATTTTCACTTAGGAAATACTGACAGGGAAAAAGGAAGTTATCAAAATCCAGAATTCTACTCTACCCCCAAGAAGCTATTCTTCCTGGAGGCTTCCCACCCCCTCCCACATACAAATCCAACTCAGAAACTGTGGCCATTGTTTTAGAAGTAAATGATGGTTGGATTTGCCCAGGAGTGCAGAGGCATGGTGGGTAGGAAAATTCCCCAGGGAAAATAGTTGCTGGGGAAAAAAGAAGTATCCAGATCTCTGAAGTTGAAATGAGAGCCAAAAGGCAACAAATATGATAAAAAAGAGTGAGAGAAAAGCAATGGAGAGAAAAGGATAAATATAAAGTGCTCTTCTTTTCTAAAAATTTAATCACAAACTTTGACAGAAATGCTTTCTGAAAAATTGGACACCCATAGTGACTTTTACAATTTAAAGCATTTTGCTAAACATAAAAATTCAGAGAATTCAAAACCTGACTCTGCAATTGCCTAATATTGCTTCCTAAACATCTTAAAATAAAAATCATGTGAGGCACTCATTAAAGATACAGCTTTCTAGGCTTCTTCCCCTGGAGGTTCTGGTTAAGTGGTGTTGGAATGGGGCAGGGAATCTCTATTTTTACAATTACTCCCAGCTGACTGGTATCATCAGGGAAGGTAGGAAAGAGCCTACAAGTCTCCCCTTTCATCTATCCCAGATGTAGTCCACTTTGTATACTGTCATCAGTTACTTTCCTAAAACATGACCCCCTTAACTAAAAAACCTTCAATAAGCTAAAACTACACACCTAAAATTAAAAACCATCTTCCACAATTTGGCTATTTCCTTTCTGAGCCCTCTTTGTGCTGCAACTGCATTAATCATGTGAGTCTTCCCAAACATGCCTCACTTAGAGGCCACTGCTCAAGCACTGTTGTTTCCTCTCTAGGATGCCATTCTCACTCCCAAATTTACCAGTCCCAATCCCACCTCCTTCCAGAAGCCTTTCCAGACTCCTTCAGGCAGGACTACTTCTTTACCCACCATACTGTCATTTGAAGGGAACTTTTAACAAGCTTCCTTACATGTTAATTGATGCTCAATAAATTAACATGGAATGGACTGAATAAGGTTAACTACTGTTAAATTAATCATACAAGGTGGCCATGAGACTGAAGTGGCTCTAACGCCTTGGTTGCAAAGGGAAAACCAATCCAGAGTCAATCCTGCAAAGGCCTCAGGACTAAGAACAACCAATCACAGAAAGCCAACTACTCTCCCCCAAATAATGTAATGGGTTAAGCTGCAGCCAACCAAATAATTTCCTTGCTTTGCTTCATGTCTTCTCTATAAAAACCTTGCCCCAGCTCCTGTTGGTGGAGTGCTCCTAACCACTTCCAGTTTGGAGCTACCTGATTCAAACTGATATCTGCTCAAATAAACTCTTAAAAATGTTAATATGCTTCAGTTTATCTTTTACCACTTCTAATTATATTAGTTGAAACAAGATTTGTAACTGTTTAAAGTTTTATTTATAGGCTCTTTTTGCTATCACCAGCTCCCTAATGTATGTTCAATATTCAGCATCAAAGTCAATCTTTCTAAAGAAAAAAAAAAAGCAACAACATTTAGAAATCACCTTTCCATCAAGAAAACTGTGCTTAGCAGAGTTAAAAAAATACATAATAAAATTTAGAGAAACTCCTATTAATTGATAAAGTCATTCAATTACCAGAATTCATTAGACCATGAATTCAATCATCTCTTCGATGACATTAGCTGCTTCTTTAAGAACAGAAAGTATCCTTCTAAAACTATTCACTTTTAATTGAAAATTGCTTGGAAAAATATACCACTGAAGAGGAAAAGTGTCTGATCTGATATTACTACTACTTTATACATGTTCTGGAAAATTTAAAAATCCAAAACTACATGCTTTTGTTAAAAATACCAGTTTGTCACAGAAGAAAGTCAAAACCATTTAACTATCTCATGCTTTGATAAAGTCGGTTGACTTCCTGGAGTATATACAAAAGTAACTCTCAAAGAGTCAGTCTGTCCTGAATATGAACCACAGACAAGACACATATCAAGGGCTGTGAGAGACAAGGGATAAACTATGACCTCAAGAAAGGTAGGCCATAAAAGCAAATCTCAGAAAAACACCTTCAGAATGCCTGACCTTGTGTAGTGTTAGCTCATTACTGAAGGTTAAGCATGATTTATTTAGACAAGCCTAGATAAATGAATGCATTAATCTGCAATATTAAGATGTCTTTCAGTAGTCCCTCTCCCTATGAAGGTTTCCTTGTGCAAGCCATAGTCAACCAACTTCCAAGTAGACCTTAGCTCCTGCAATTATCTCTTGAATCTATCTGCAAATCCCCTGCTGTCACCCCTGTCCTAAACAAATGGTTCTCAAAGCAGTAGCTGTGTCCCACCCTCAAGAGTTTCTGACTACGGGGTGGGGCCCAGAATTACTTTTCGAACAAATCCTCAAGTAATGCAAATGATACATGGACCACATTCTGAGAACACAGTCCTGAAATAGCCTCATCTCCTCTAGATTAGTATAATAGTCTCCTAACTACTCTATCTACAACCACTTATGTACCACCTTCAATCCAGTCTCTATTATATGAGATTTTTTTTAAAAACTCAAATCTAATTATCACACCCACATCACCTTCTCAGTTTCATGAACATGCCATGACCTTTACTTCACTTGTAACACTAGTTAGTGCTACCAGACATTACTTTGTCACCTTGTCAACTGATGATAATGAACTGTAGGCACCCCAAAAGGTTAACCCATAGAGTTTTTTTAACACACTGCAAATGACAAGTGCCTGGGAGGTTCCTTGGAAAAACTGAAATTTCTTTTATCCTAATCCCTACAAAATATGGTCTTTTTGAATCACTGAATAAGAAGCTTTAAAGGAATGCTGATTAAGCCGCCTCTCAGCTTCTAACCCAGTCTCTTTACTCTGCTCTGTGACGCTGGGGTTGAAGTCTGCAAAGCACATTTCTTCTATGACAGCTGGCTCCCTTTTAGGATGAGCCAACAGGCAGATGCTAAAGGGAGACTGGAAGGCTGGAAGAGGAACACACATGCTCCTTTCCTTTTTGTTTCTTATCTGGTCACCATCACCCCAGCAACACTTCATCTTGCAGAAATCATTTGTTCCAGTAACTGCAATTTATATCAGTTTGCAGTTTTTCCAAAACTCCCAGAACCAGCTTCAACCATGATCATACAGCCCGCTAGAATTCCCTCTTCAAAAGGCTGAAGCCCAGCTTCACAGTGTCCCTTCAGAGACACCAGCCACAGAGCATCCCCTCCCCAGGTCTCAGTCCCAGCTCTACAGTCCCTCCTCTGAACTTCAATGGCAAAGCAACAAAGCAGAACCCTCTTGTTACACAGCTAGGTCCCAGCTCAAAGGAGCCTCCCACCAGATTCTAAAGGTTGGCTTCAACCTTGTCCATTGGTTCCCCTAGGAACTAGAGATGATAAATGCTTCCTAAAGTTACTACCTCCTTGATATTTTGGTTTGCATTTTTTGTCTCTAATACCTAGTTAACAACTTTTTACATTAGAATCTCTGGCAAAACAACTGGTGTAATTTCTATCTTCTAATAAAATCGTGACTGATAACAGTGTAACACTAAAGGAAGAGAAGAAAGGCTCTGATTAGTTAGGCTAAATGATTAAAGTACACATAAAGAGCTAGATGCATTACAGAGTAATAAGTTAACAGGAAAAAAGATGACAGGAAGAGTAGAGGTGCTATGACAACTTCTAGAGCACATATGCCTTTATAAAGAAAAAGAAATTCTAAAAAGTCAGAAGGGACATAGTTGGTCTTCAGAGACTAAGAGGAGGCATAAAGCAGGTTCACAAAACAGCTCAGGAGACGATAAGTTATTAAAGACAAGGCACATTGATAGAAATTTTAATTACTATATTAAACCTTCCAACTTGTGGAAAGTGAGTTTTATGAATTATATTTATGCTGTACATAGCTATATGTAACTGTACCCGCTTTTATGGCATAGTAAAATTTATCAAGGCATTTTAACCAACTGTTTATGGAGTAGGCTAAAATTTGAAGACAAACGCATTTTTAGGGAAATTAGTGAGAAAAGGTCTGGATCAAAGACACTGTCTCTCATGTACCACAATGTTCACTGCAGCACTATTTACAATCGCCAGGACATGGAAGCAACCTAAGTGTCCATCAACAGATGAATGGATAAAGAAGATGTGGCACATATATACAATGGAATATTACTCAGCCATAAAAAGAAATGAAATTGAGTTATTTGTAGTGAGGTGGATGGACCCAGAGTCTGTCATACAGAGTGAAGTAAGTCAGAAAGAGAAAAACACATACTGTATGCTAACACATATATATGGCATCTAAAAAAAAAAGGTTCTGAAGAACCTAGGGGCAGGACAGGAATAAAGATGCAGACGTAGAGAATGGACTTGAGGACACAGTGAGGGAGAAGGGTAAGCTGGGACAAAGTCAGAGAGTGGTGTGGACATATATACACTACCAAACGTAAGATAGATAGCTAGTGGGAAGCAGCCACATAGCAGCTGGGTGCTTTGTGACCACCTAGAGGGGTGGGACAGGGAGGGTGGGAGGGAGACACAAAAGAGGGAGGAAATATGGGGATATATGTATATGTATAGCTGATTCACTATGTTGTAAAGCAGAAACTAACACAGCACTGTAAAGCAATTATACTCCAATAAAGACTTTAAAAATATATATATATATATATATATATAAAGACACTGTCTCTGCTGTAAAGAACATAGGAAATGTTTTTGTTATATGGTCGCAAAGAAGAAATTTTTCAGCAAATGAGACAGAAGATGCAGCTCTTATTTGGAATCCTACAGGAATTTGAACTCTAAATCACTTTGCAGTTCCATCAGAAGTTTGAATTACATGTATTTGGTTTATTTACAGTAGATAAAGTACTGTATGAAGGGAAGTCTATGCATAACACTTCAGTGTTTCTAATATTCAAGATTTTCCTGGGAATATAAAATTAACTGCTGTCTTCCTTCAGAAGTTTTAGATTTGCATTATTGACTAAATTACCATTTTAGTCAATTCAGATTAATTGCATGCTGCAAAGAATATCGGAAAACCATAGTTTTCAGAATTTTCTTCAAACTGTTTAAAGTCAAATGATGGAATCAAAATTTTAAATTCCATTTGTAAGTTAAGAAATTATTTTATATACCTTTAAAGTTCACATACAATTATCTTTCTAAAGGGTACATAATATAACAGTCTCCTGGAACATGCTTGTCCTAGAATGACAATAACATTTACTTAACATTTTTAAATACCCAAATAATGAAAATCAAATTATTTTTAAAAATTCACCTGTTGATGGTGAAATACAATAATCATCCTCTACAGACTGGCCATAGAGATCATCATCTTCAAAATCTAAAATAAAAATACAAGAGATAAATTCACTTACAAGTTCTTTTTATATTCTTAGTTATTAATGAGGAAACATCTGAATTCTCTCCGAAATAAATTAAATTAAATTAATTAAATTGTTCATCTAAATTAAAGGAACTTAGAATGTCCACTTTTCAAAAAAAATTCTAAAAATTCTACCCAAAGTAGTTATTTACTGACTTTCTATATTTATAAAGACATACATGTTTTTAGATTTTTAAGCTAATTGAGTTTTAAGAAGTTTTTCCAAGTTTTCACTTCGTGTGATCAAAGAATAATCCCATACCCCATGTACTTGAATTGTCCTTCCAGTATTGGCAAAAATCTGAAATAAGCCTTCCATCCATTTTTTCACCAGATGCCTGCTCTAAGCAAAACATTTATTTTCCATACAACTGACTAGCGCAGGGTATACAATCAGACCATGAAGGCAGTTTTTCTTCATGTAAAGCTAGGTAATGCACAAAACCCAGCTTATCCTAAACTCCCCTCTGCTCTAGCTAATTGGCCTTTTTTCAAACTGACTACAATATGCTCTTTGCCCAGATTTTCCTACCGCTGTTTCCTTCTCCTAGTTAAGGTTCCAGCTCAAATGTCATCTATTTCAGAAGTCTTCCCTGACCACTCCGGGTAAAGCAGCAAGCCCTGCCTGCCACTTTTATTCTCTAGCACACTCCTCTAACTGAATGTCTTCAAAGCACCATACCTGGTTCACTCCATTGACTATAAGCTCCTTCAGGGCAAGACTGTCTAGACAACTACCTGACACATGCTTGGCATAAATTAATACTTGTTTTATTATAAATTAATGAATCAATCTATAAAATCCCACAAAGAACATAAACATGTTTACATAAGTGTATTTATTCATTCAACAAATACTAACACTATGCCAGGGGCTATCAGAGACATTTGGGGTACAAGACTGAGTGGCAGGCACATTCCCAGATCTCTACAAACCTAAAATCTAACAAGGGAAGACAGACGAGAAAACGAGCAATTATAAAACGATATTACGACTGTTTGAGACATAAGAATACAGAATGATCTGGGAACACACATAGGAACAACAAAAACAGAATTGGGAGTGGGGTGGCTAGGGAAAGATCCCCAGGAATATCATATTTTAAACCAATTCTAAAGGATAGTTAGCTAATTTCTGAGGGTATTCATGTAGCAGCAGCAGGAACAGCATGTTCAAAGGCTGAGACCAAATATTTATGGCAAAGAAAAATTACATAAATGCTACTATTGGATGAAAATGTGTAAATTTTTACACATTCAATAAATTATTAGATCACAATCCCGACTTAATAAAAAATATTAGCAAATAAATGAGAAGCCATTCACAAAAAAATGTATTTGGATATTAAAGACAAGAATCTTTTTATACTGGGTCAGTTTTTCAGTACTGAAATGAACCCTAAAAGTGTTAGAGTATCAGAAGATAAAGAGAATTCTTTCCTGGGATTTTTGTCAAGTGGTTCTTTTCCTCAACAATATTTTGGAGTATTTGCTGCACATAAAGCATTGTACTGGCTAATGGAGTAAATATAAAAATAAAGTATGGGCTTTGCCTTCCTGGGACTTTTATTAATTAGTAGGTGAGGCAGTCTTGTAAACTACTACCCATATTACAGAGAAGAACACAATGAGAGTTAAGGAGAGGAGCCAATAGATTTTCGAGCATAAAAATCTCTGTAATGAAAAAAAAATCTCTGTAGTGAAGTTATATTACTTTTGAGAATTTTTAAATTATTATCTGAGAGAAGGGAAAGCTTAACTGAGAAGAGAAAAAAACTGGACACTTAAAATAAGTAGAACTTTCACAAGCAAGAAAAGGGGATGGACCTCCAATGCTATAGGAACAGCTTGGTTATGATGTCATCAACTGTTCCAAAGAAATCTGAACACCTGATGTGGGGTGGCTAAGGTGAGAAGATACTTAGCACTCACTCCCTCAAGCCAAGCACCTCTCCTTCAGGATGCCTTCCTTCACATACGAGTTCTGCTTAAAGTCCTCCGACTCATTCTGAACAGTTGTTCTCACTTAAGTAGCTCCCATAGCACTTCATAATCATCCGTTACTTGTGTATCTCCCTCTTTAAACTCCCTCAAACACCTTGCTGTTGGTCCCCAAAGCTCAAACAGTACTCCAAGCACTCAATGTTGATTGAGGACATAATAAATATCTATTAAAGAAATGCGTAAGTAGTAATTAGACCTATTCGTGTCTTTTACAGCATATTTGCAAAAATATCTCCCAGGCTAAAGTCATTTCTCAGGTAACAGTGGTCCACAGGCAATACTTAACATCCACCGCAATACTGAAAAAGAATTCCATTCTGAAGTGACCACCAGGAACCTAACACGTGCCAGGCTAACTGGATCACTGCCTTCAAATGCAGCAAAGGGTATTAGCTGCCCTCCGCTATGATTAGAGCATACTGATGTTCTAGAATAATCTGCTGGGAATGCTAATAACCACCACCAATATACTAAGCACACTGCATGCCCTGTACTCAACAAAGTGATAGATCTTTATTCATTTGCACTCCTTCATACTTGTTTACAGTTTAGTTTGTGTGATGCTTGGTGATGCCTACAAGTATCCACTGTATAGAAATTAAACTTCTGGACAACATTCATATTTTTTTATTTCACTTTTAAAATCAGTAAGTCCTTTTAGAAGCTCCCTTTCTTCTAATATTACTTTTTTTTCCCCCAAAAAGTACATTTATATTCAGCATGACCAACCAAGAACTGAGTACACACCTCAAGATCATCTGATCAACTTACTCTTTGGGCCTTTTTAATATGTATTTTTTTCAACCATCTCCTAAGTTTCCAATTTAACTTGAAAAGCATAGAAAATAAGTTAGTCAGCTAATTCAAGCCAGGTTCTGCACTAAGTGTGTAGGAACAAACACACAAGATTTACCCTTTAAATCTAAGAGTTACAGCAGAACGGCTGAATGTAAGCATTAGGTCAATCCTTGTTTTACAAATAAGAAAGTTTCATGGGCCTGTTTGAAAGGAGGGTCGGGGAGAGAAGCTCGAAGTAGGAAAGTGTGTAGCCGACCTGGGGGGAAACAATGGGAGAGGTAATAATGCTTACGTGGGTAACTATCACCGGACCCCAACCTTTTCAAAAGTCCTTCCCATATGAGGCCCTGCAGCATCTCCCCTACCCTAAATAAAACCAATCTCAGAAGGAAAAAAACACTACTTAAAACAACGCCATTCGGTGGAGCTCAGGCGTCCTGTAATTTTCTCCAAATGAGCCTCCTCTGAACGCCAGCCTGGCACCACTGACGAGAAACTAACATATGGAAGTGAGTGCCAACCGGCTGCTATCCCGGCTGGAACGATAAAAATGACGGCCCGGCATAACCCTGCCACCTACCTTCATCGTAGTTATAGCCTCGGACATTCCGATGCCTGGCCATGACGGCGGAGATGGCGTTCGCCACAGCCGCTTACAAACTACCAGCTCAAATACTGACAAAGCGCCAACTGCGGCCTGCCGATTACCTATACGCCATCTTGGCTTCCGGCAGGCCTCAGCGCTGAGCGCCTGCGCACGCACGACGTCTTATCTGAGTACGGCAACCTCTCAGGGTCATTCGCCTCTCTGAGAACGCATGCGCACTCATGCTCACGGGAGGGGTGCGTTTCGGCGAGGCCGCGCCCATAGATAAATTGACTGACGGGGCTTTCGCCGGAGACGAATTACGCCGCTTATAATTTGTTAGTTTGGACTTAATATTTCGAGTCGGGATCCTTGACCTACGCCGGCGTTCCAGATTATTTTCCAAATTTGGTTTCTGATAATCTAGTGAAAAAGCTGACTGTGTGCTCAGTAAGAGCACGAACCTTGTCTTATCCAGCTTTCATCTTTGCGGCCTACTTAGGCGCTAATGGGCATTAACAAACTTGTATACATTTGGTATAAGAATTAGTCCAAGTTTTAAAGGCGAACAAAAGACTCTTCATAAACGGGTATATTTTCATTGAGAACCTGGCTACAATAGGTCACCATGCATTTGTGTATGCAATTCGTGGTTTCATGTATGTGCTCCATCCTGCATTAATACCTCTAGTAAACACCTGTCTGCCCTTAGCCATGTAAATGATTATCATCAGATCATAGAGGATTCAGTGAACATTCATTCAACACAGTAACATGCTAAGATTACTAAATATAGCTTCTTAGATACTGGCCTTAAATGGTGATGAATGTTGTTAATGAATAAATCTATAACCTATTATTAAGCGTCATTTCTTAGGTCACAAAGTGAATGATGCTATGTAAAAAATCAACCTCCTCATTTTACTGAAGAAACTACACTTTAGTTTTATATTTTTGAAGTGGTGATATATCAAATTCTAGAAATAAAAGCTTACTTAGCTTTTTATTATCCATAATGGAAAAAAATAATGATACAAATTCAACTCATATTTGTAAGTGGCTTGAATGGTAACTTACACATGTGTTTGAATGTGTCTAACCACCAAATGTTTGTTTTTAACTATCATTGCTGTTCAATGTAACTCCAAGACAAAATTTTACACAAAAATAGTTGCTAATTTCATATGGCTTAAGTGTTTACACTTTTAGGTAATGTTTATGTTGTAGCCTGTTTCTTCGTCTGTAAAATGGAGATAGTAATAGTATGTAACGTACAGAGTTGTGAATAATTATCCTTGTAGAAGGATTTCACACAGACAAGACAAAGGTTTGGGCTATGGGTTGTAAATTGTGACTAGGAAAAGTATTCTGGGGGCAAGGGAGGGGCAGCAAAACTAGTGGAAGATAAGGGATGTTTCAGTAAGTTTGTACAAACCCATTTCAGCATCAATTCCTAGCTTCTGTTGATAAGGATGGTATCTTGTCTGTCTTCTGGTATAGGAAGGACAGTTTTCTCATAGGAAATTTTATGACCTGCTTTTAGGTGGAAAGGAAGAGGCCTGAGAGCCCTTCTTGATGTTTCTCAAGTTACTTCAATTCAAAATAATCAATATACCAAAGCATATTTTAGGGTGACATGCCCTGAACTCCTTCAGTACTCAGTAAATTGTAGTTCTCTACCCCACTAATTGGAAGTTTGTTTCTCTAGCACCCTAATGTCTGGCACTTTGAATGTTTGCTAAATAAATTAATGAATTTGAAAAGATAGATATAATATATAATAGATATAATATCTTGCTATGAGATATTTAACAAATACCACAAACAACTATGCAACTAATTCATTTTAATATCAATTTTTTTAAAAAATTATAAGTGAAAGTAGCATAACTACCTTATAAAGTTTTTAACACCTTTATTGAAGAATCATTGACAAGGAATAAACTGCACATATTTAAAATATACAATTTGATGAGCTTTGACATATATATTCACCAGCGAAACCATCAACCCAACCGAGATAATGAACTTATCCAAATTTGCAAAATTTCCTCAAGTATCTTTATTATCTCTCCCTCCTGCACCTCGCTGCCTCCTCACCCTGGCCTTAGGCAAAAACTGATCACCTTTCTGTCGCTATAGATATAGGACGTATTTTATAAAATTTTATATAGAGGAAGTCATGTAATATGTATTATTTTCTTCTCTGGCTTCATTCACTCAGCATAGTAATTTTGAGATTCATCCATGTAGGTGCTTGAATCATGTACAACTCTTCGTATGGACATAAACATTAATCCTGGGTCAATACCTAGGAGCAGAATGGTTGGATTATCAATATGATGTTATCTTTAGTTTTTTTTTTTTTTTTTTGCGGTACGCGGGCCTCTCACTGCTGTGGCCTCTCCCATTGCGGAGCACAGGCTCCGGACGCGCAGGCTCAGCGGCCATGGCTCACGGGCCCAGCCGCTCCGCGGCATGTGGGATTTTCCCGGACCGGGGCACGAACCCGTGTTCCCTGCGTTGGCAGGCGGACTCTCAACCACTGCGCCACCAGGGAAACCCCTATCTTTAGTTTTTTGAGAAACTGCCAAACTGTTTTCCAAAGTGGTTGCAATATTTTACATTCCTACCAGCAACATAGTTCCATTTTCTTCACAACCTTGCCAGCAGTTGGTATGGTCTAAAGATGTTATGTGTGTTTGACATTTCTGTATCCTCTTTGGTAAAGTGTCTGTTTGAATCTTTTTTCAATTTTTAATGTTAATATTAATTTTACTTTGGAGAGTTCTTTTTATATTCTGGATACAATTTCTTTGATATATAATTTGGACATACCTCTTTCAATTTGTAACTGGCCTTTTCATTCTCTTAATAGTGTCTTTCAAATAGGAGAAGTTAGTTTTGAGGAAGTTCAATTTATCAATTTTTTTTAATAATGGATTGTGCTATTGATTTCATACATAAGAAACCTTTGCTTAACCCAAGGTTACAAAAAATTTCTCCTATTTTTAAGTAAGTGTTATAGTGTTAGGTTCTACATTTAGATTTATGATCTGTTTTCAGTTGATTTTTGTATATAATGTAAGGTTTGGATCAAAGATTGTTTTTTTATATGTATTTTCAATGGTTCCAGCACCATTGTTGAAAAGAAGGTCCTTTCTCCACTGAATTACATCTGCATATTTATCAAAAATCTGTTATTCATATATGTGTGGTCTATTTCTGGACTCTCCATTATGTTCCATTGATCTACTGATCTTTTGATCTAGCTTGACACCAATACCATGCTGTCATGATTATTGTAGCTTCAAAAATCTTAAAATCAGGTAATGTTAATCCTCCAAATTTCATCTTCTTTTTCAAAATTCTCTTAGCTATTTTAGGTCCCTGGCATTTCCATATGAATTTTAAAATGAGGTTATCAATTACTACAGATATTCTGGCTGGGACTCTAATATTTTGTTGAATCTATAGATCAATTTGGGGAAAATTGACATTTTAAACATGCAGTCTTTCAACACATGCACATCATATGTCTAATTTCTTTCAGTAATGCTTTCTGGTTTTCAATGACTTGTTTGCACAACTTTTGAAGATTTAATTCTAATTATTCCATAATATTTTTATTCTATTGTGAATAATATATTTTTAATATCAAGGTAAATATATATAATTAAACTATTAAAATTAATAAGTTGTTTAGCACCATCAATACCCACAAAATATATATAAGAAAAAACAGTAGGAAAATAAAAATTAAAAATAAATTAGCTATATTAGCATAAAAAATATCAAATACCTAGGATGAATATAGGAAAAATGGGTAAGCCCTAAACTGAAACTAGAAAACATTGCTGAGAAAAATAAAATAACATTAAATGGAAAAATATACAATGTCCATGGATTGGAAGAGTCACTATTATTATGTTAAATGGAAGACAGGTCAATTCCTCCCAAGTTAATCTATATTTGATATTATCCTAGTCAAATCCTACAAGTTTTTTGATGGATATTGACATATTCTGTAATAAAAATGGAGCTGCAAAGATCCTAGAATAGCCAAGACAATCTCAGAAAAGAATCAAGTTGGAGGACTTACACTATCACTAAGACTTGCTTTAATGCCATAGTAAGTACAACAGTGTGATACTGATAAGGATAGACAAATATACTATTGAAACACTGTGAAGAAAGAAATCATCACGTGTGATCATCTAATTTACAACTGAGATACCACTGCAGTTTAGAAAGGAAGAGGATAGTCTTGTCAATAAGTTGTTTCATCACAACTGTAGAAAAAACAAACAAACATAAGAGAATATCTTTAGAGCATGAAGGGGGGCAAAGATTTTTAATCAGTGCACAGAAAGCACTAACCATAAAAGAAAAGATTCATAAAGTGAACTTTATTAAAATTAAGAACTTCTGTTCATCAAAAGACAACATTCAGAAAGTAAAAAGGCAAGTTGCAGCCTAGGAGAAAATACTTGCAGCAAATATATCTCACAAAGAACTCATATCTATAATATACAAAGAAGCCTATGCACCCCCCCTCAAAACCCCAACAATTTAAAAATGAGTAGGAGTCCCAAAGAGGCACTTCACAAAAAAATAATATCTGTAACGGGCATTGAGCATCCTCAATGTCATCCATCATCAAAAAATGCAAATAAAATCATAATGGGTGTACCCCTACCAGAATGACTAAAATTAGAAGCACTGACAATAGTAAGCGTTGGCGAGGATGTGGAGCAGTTGGAAGTCTCATAGCTAGTGCATGTGCAAATTAGTATAACCACTTTGAAAACTTTCGGCAGCATTGCCAAATACTAAACATTTGTATGCCTTGTGACCCAGAAATGCCACATCTAAGTACAGACTCCACAAAAATCAGTGCTTGTGTACAAGAATGTTTATAACAATTTTATTCATAATAGCTCCAAAATGTAAACAAACCAAATGTTTTCAACAGTAGACTAGATTAATGAAATGTGGCATATCCATTTAGTAGGAAAATACACAGCACTGAAAAACAGCAAGGGAGGTTTTATACATATGTAAAATTTTATTGTGCTGTATATTTAAGATATCTGCACCTTTCAGTACATAAGTTATACCTCTATAAAAAAAACTAAATAAAAAGAAAAGTGGGGGGAAAATCCTT